GAAAAGGAGGAGGTGATGGAGGAGGAGGAGGAGGAGGAGAAGGAGGAGGAGGGGGAGGGGAGGGGAGGAGAAGGAGGAGGTGATGGAGGAGGAGGAGGTGATGGAGGTGGAGGGAATTGTTACACAGCCGGATGTGAGAAAACAAGAAAAATAAGGAAGAGGAGAGGAGAGAGTAGGGGAGGTAACGAGAGCAGTGCAGAGGGCGGCGGAGGGGAAAACAGTGGAGGGGAGCGGAGGGCATTCACCTCAATCTGCTCGAAGTGAATTAGGTGTTGCTCCTTGAAGGAAGACAATCTCTTCTTCTCCCTGCAGAGGTCCATCACATTCACTTGATACATCCATCTTCCGCCTCTCCCTTCCCTCCCCTTCCCTCTCCGACCTCGCTCCCTCCCCCCTTCTCGTCTCCTCTCACCTCCTCCTCCATCTTCTCCCCTCCCCCTCCCTCCCCTGCCCTCCCTCTTCTCACCGGTTCACATATCGGAACTCTGTCAGCACGTTTCTGATCTTGGGGTGAACCTTGACCCTCACGTTGGCTCGTCCGGCTCCCGCCGCCTCCACGTTGAGCTTGTACTGACGGTACACCGTCTGCACCACAACCGCCGCTTTGTTCCGCACCTCCCGCCCGTTCTCGTTCATCTCGATGAACTGCATGACTTTTGCCTCCGGCGCGTTCAGCGCCACCCGCTGTACCACCCCCTGGATAATGAGCGAGATGAACACGACGCCCGCACAGCCGTTGATCACTGCCACTCCCCTCCCCAGCCTCGTGTGCGGCACCAGGTCCCCGTACCCGACCGTCGTCATGGTGATGATGGTCTGGTAGAGGCAGGGCCCGAACTCCGACAGCTGGTCAGCGTGCGGGTACGGCCGCTCGCAGAGCAGCATGATGTAGGAGGTAGAGACGGTCATGACGGAGATAAGTACCATGAGCGTTCCGAAGTTGGCGACGAAGAGGGAGCGGATGACGAACCAGGTGTCGATCTCGACGTTGTTGAGCCTGGCGACGACCACTGCCATCTCCCTCGACATGAGGAAGATCTCGGCTATGAGACGCGGGAGGAACACGATCCTGATGAACATCAGTGCCATCGAGATGTTGTCCGACGTGTAGACGATCGGGGCCTCGTCCCGAAAGATGTCCTGGATCTCGATGCTGAAGTGGACGAAGGGGAAGGGCTGGGGCAGGAGGATCAGCGCATCTAGAAGAAACTGCAGCAGGTTCCTCGACTCCCACAGCGACATGATCCCGAAACCGTAGCTGAGCTCAACACCCTCGCAGCGCTTGATCTGGATCAGAGCATCGTAGTAGAGATACAGGTAGATGTACGCCACCACCGTCGTGGCGAACACCAGCACCTTGAGTAAGGTAGTGAAGCCGGTCTCCATAGTCTCGAACCCGACGGCAGAATACCACAGCGTCTCGTTCACGATCACAGCGAGCAAGACACCTGTAAAACGGTCAGGACCAGCCCTCATCCCTCCCACCCTCCCTCCTCATCTACCTCCTCCCTCTTACCGATCAAGGCAGCCGCCGCCAGGATCACAAAGTTCATTGACTTCTGCTTGCGCCAGTAGTTCACGTTGTTCTTTTGACTCCCGGCGCCGAACCATCCCATCGATGAATCCCACAGGTCGTCTGAACAGCCTCGTCAAACAGACCAATTCCACCTCTCCTGTCCTGGCCTGTCCTCCTCTCCTTCTCCTCTCCTCCTCCTCTCCTCTCCTCTCCTCTCCTCTCCTCTCCTCTCCTCTCCTCTCCTCTCCTCCCTCCTCTCCTCTCCTCTCCTCTCCTCTCCTCTCCTCTCCTCTCCTCTCCTCTCAATTCACTTCTCCTCTCTTTTCTCTCACCTTTGCTGCTCTTCGTCTTCGACCCCAGCAGCGGAGTCGTCTCCTTCGTAGCCATCGGGGCCCTGAAAGCGAGTTCAGACTCCCCTTCCTCCTCCTCTTTTTTGTCCTCGTCTTCTACTCTCTCCGTTCCACGTCCTCCCTTACGTTCCTCTCCTGCCTCTGAGTCAAATGTTGATTTCCATCAGGTTCTATGATCTCAGTTGCTCTGCAAGCTCTTCTGCTCTTACTCTTCATCATTCAAATAAGATATGGGCACCATCCCATCCCTCCACTCAGTCTCTATGCGCAAGTCTCAAGCGTGCTCGAAGCCGCTATCATATGGGTCTCAACGAATCCGCCTCATCTCGAAGACCATGCGCTTCTACAGCCTTGACGGAGAAATTATCTCCTCCTCTGACATCCTCCCGCTCCCCAATCTTTGGGTCTTCCCGCCCTCCCACTCGCCCTCCTTCCCCTCTATTTTCGCGCTCCCCTTCTTTCTCCTGCTCCTGCTCCTGCTCCTGCTCCTGCTCCTGCTCCTGCTCCTGCTCCTGCTCCTGCTCCTGCTCCTGCTCCTGCTCCTGCTCCTGCTCCTGCTCCTGCTCCTGCTCCTGCTCCTCATTCTCCTCATTCTCCTCCTGCCTCCCTTCTGCGTTTGCATGAGGCATCTCGATATGACGAAGGGTCAGAAAATGGGCAATGCGGGGATGAGGGTCAAGAGAATGAGGGTGATGAATCTGTCGGGGGATGAGGGCTTAGTTTCCTACTCCATGGTGTTCAGGGTGGAGTTGCGCGAAGGCAGCAGTCAGTGAGTGAAGGGGGAGAGGAGAGCAGAGGAGAGGAGAGAAGAGCAGAGAGACAGGAGGAGAGAGGAGAGGACAGGAGAGGACAGGAGAGGACAGGAGAGGACAGGAGAGGAGAGGACAGGAGTAGCACATCGACCGCAGTGGCAGAAGCGCTGACGTTCTGGCTCATCTTATTCTCAACGTCAAGACCATGGTGGTGGTACCCGAGGATTGTGTCGGCATGGTAGCACCGTGGTTGTCCTTGAAGGAAGCCATCCTGGCAGGCAGCACGAGCAAGTCATGGAACCGCGTCCTGCTGAGTGACGAGGCATGGGAGGATAGATATGAGCTCTTCTGGGGCGACAAGATAACAGACGTTGGAGAGGGAGGGGGCATCGCTTGGGGGGGACGAGGAGGACAAGGTGGCTGCGATGAAGCTAAGAGCAAACAAGCGCCCAACTTTCGATCCGCATTCCGGGCGAGGTACGAGATTCTCAGAGGATTGCCTGCACTCCTACACAAATGGAGAGCTTGCGCACAGAAGGTGAGCCAGGTGAAACTCAAGGGACCGGATGACGAGATGTCGTTCCCCAGGTGGAAGGAACGACCCACCACCAGCGACAGCAGCAGCTCGTTGCTTCACAGGAGTGCACCCACGAGCTCATTCGCAGGTGCTGGGGGGAGCCCAAGGTCGACCCTGCTGCTGACATGCTTCTCCAGCGCTCGACTGTGCCGTCTTGTGCTCCGAGTGGTAGCAGGGTATTCGGCCGGCGACAAGGGAGCATGCGGCGTGCTGCAAGAGGAGGCCGTTCAGAGGATGCTCTCCGAGAAGCAGGCGGAGGAGCCTTCACATGGCAGGACCCTCAAGAAAGTTGTCTTGCTGGAGGGAGATGTCGTTGCTGCGTCCTCAGCCCGTGTGCAGGTGTCGCAACATGCCCTGTGGCTCTTGCATGATCAGCAGATCAACCAAGAGTGGAAGGACTTGATCGCGCGCGGTGAGCGAGGCATGCGGGTGGGAATCGACAGTCCAGCTGATGCCTGCCCGCAGGCAACATGGTAGTGACGTCGGGCCCCGAGTACTACGAGTGCATTGAGAGGGGGGCAATGATCATATCGAAGCTGGAGGACCCGGACTTGTCGGAGGCTGGTGATGAGGGAGGGGGAGGGGGTGGAGCGAGAGGGACTTAAGGAAGGACGCAGAGGTGCGAGAGGCTATCGACAAGATCGCTGAGCAAGTGCGAGCTCGGATCCCGGAGGGGGAGACGTCGACCGTCAATGTGCTCAAGTGGATGAACCGGGTGCTGTTCGACGAGCTCCTGTTCCGGGGGAACACCGACGACTACTACTGCGTGCAGAACAGGTGCGAGCCCGCTCCTCCTACCCGCCTCCATCGTTCCCTGATCGCGTGTCACTGCCAGCCTGCTCTCAGAGGTCCTCCGGAGGAAGACGGGCATTCCTATCAGCCTCTCTGTGCTCTACATGTGTGTTGCCTGGCGACTGGGCGTGCGGCTACAGGGTGTGGACATGCCGATGCACTTCGTCCTCATGGCCAGGGACAGAGACGGCGCCGAGTGTCGCGACACGTTCATCGACGTCTTCGGAGGAGGCGTGCTGCTCTCCATGCGCGAGCTCGAGGTCGCCCGCATCGCTGCTGGGAGGCAGCTGGACTGACGTGGCCGGGCAGATGAAGATGTTGATGATGGGGATAGAGATCCATGTGTCCGACGTCAACCAGGCCCGCCCCTCCTACTTCTTCGTGAGGATGCTCAGGAACCTGGTAACGGTCCTCAGGCCGCCTGAAGGAAGACTGTCCTCTGTGAGCAGGGTTGCCGTCTGCCGGCATGCCTGACTGCTGCGCCAGGGCATCGAGGACGAAAACCGAGCCCGCAAGTCCTCCCTCCTCGTCCTTTGCCTCGCTCAGCTCGTGACGATCCTCAAGGACAGTGCTGAGGGCAGCACTCAGGTAACCTCCAAGTCTCTTCAGCTCCCCCTGATGTTGGAGGCAGTTCTACGAGGAGCAGATCGATCTTTACAGGTGGACAGGGGCGACGAGGCTGTTGTGCCCGTAGGGCTCGCGCAATAGAGGTCCAGCTGCTGCTTTCCAGCACTGGGCCGCTAACAAGCAGGAGCGAAGCTCTCGTGTCATTTAGAAGCTTTCATTCTCACGCTCACCAAGATCCCATACACCATCATGGAACTTGGACACAGCGGATGCAAATTTACCTACAGAGTAAACACACAAGTCAGAGATCAACAGCTGGTCGCACTGTGCCTTCACCTGTTGCGGGAGTAGAAGTAGTCCCACTGGTCGCGAGCGCGTCTCCAGTCGTCATAGGCAGCCCAGTTGTTAGCCTGGTAGTAGGTGTCCTCTGCCTTCTTGTAGTAGAACCTTGATCTCACCTCAGCACCCTCTACCCTCTCCTCCACACGTTCAAGGACCTGGCGGTCTTCTGGTAGTCGCCAGCCTGAGTGTAGAGGGCAGCCGCCTTTTTCTGCAATCCAACATCAGGCGAGGATAATCACAAGGGAGCCAGCCTTACCCCGTAAAGAGCCTCAAACATCGCTGTACAAAACAGAAGAAAGTCAGTTGTTGATGTTGGCAATGAGATGTCCTTTGCGCTTTTCTCAGGTTCACTGTGCCTCTGAGCTCTCATTGTACACGAAATGAATTTCACGATATGAAACAGTATCATGGACACTTTGCAATCCCAACGCAAGCGCTTCTACACCAATCGCACACATCCCTCTTTCATTATCGCGCTGATAATTCCATCCCTTCTTTACTTCGTTTCGCCAACTGCAGCACACTAATTTTGCACAATCCCCATCGTTTGCGTCAATGAGGCTAAAAATTTCATGCCAAAAGAAGATAGCTCGCAAGATCGCTTTCAAGGGCTGCGCGCCATTCAAACTAGTTCAAAGTCACACCAAAGGCTAGTCAACCTTACGAACAACCAGTCCTTCCTCGTGCCTACAACTATTCCCTCGCAGCATTCCTCTCCTTCAGCACTGTTGCAGGTATACCATCATACCACCGCCGTCTACTTCTTCTTCCATCGCCGCCTCTCAGCCTCTCTCGCCTCCCTCCGGCCCCGCCATTTCGCCTCCTGGCAGCGGCTCTTGGCGAAAGGGAAACAAGGGCCACATCCCCTCCGTGACCCATATGTGGACCTCATCCCACCCACTGCCCAATGAGACACATAAGGGTTGAGGCAGGTTGGAATCATGGGATCGCGCGAAAATGGGCGAGGATAGGCGCCGATGGCGAGCAGCAGCGGGCGCGATGGGGGAGGGAGAGGGGATGATATGATTTGATACGTGTCTCTGCTTGCTCCTCGTCCATCCTTGTCCTCTGCTTCCCGGCTCCATCCGCCCTGATGCGATCCAAGTGCGTGGGAGGAGGGAACAGGATCCTACCCCTGTGCCAAGTCGCATCATCGGGAGATCATCTTGACCAGTGCTCTCGTCCCCTCATCGTCTCTTATATCTGCTTGTCTTGCTCTCTGATGCTCTCTCGTCCTCCAGAACGAGTCGTAGGCCTCCGAAGTCTCCTTTGCGCTTCCCTCCGTGCTCCCCTCCTTCCCTCTCCTGTCCCACCCACCCACCTTTCTCTTTCGCTGGTTACCTCCCCCGTTTCCTTCCCGTGCTCCCATGTATTGCGTGAAGAGAGCGAAAGTGCTGTGTTGTAGGGTGGTGTGAAAGGAGCGATCAAGGAACAGAGTTCTTACTTGCGCTGACCTCTGGATCAACAGGCCTCTCCTGAGCCCTTCGTCCCCGAGCAACGTCTTGCCTCATGTCAAGGAGTTTCCTCGCATACCACCGATGCCGCCCTCTCATCCTCCCTGCGGTTCTGCTCATCGCCTCTCCCGCTCGCGGGTTTCTCGCCCCCAGCAGGATCATCGTGCAGCGGGCAAACCTTCCTAGCCCTACCTCCAGAGGACAGAGCTCCCTGTGGAGGAGCCCGAGCCCTGCCCTGCCGATGATGAGAAGCGGAGACGGGAGCAAGCGCGGGCTAACCTCCTCGGCAGCAGCAGTCGCCGCAGCCGTCTCGGCCTTGGTCGCCCGCCCGGAAGTCGCGTCTGCAGTGGAGCAAGCAGCGCAGGTCGCGAGCCAGGACACGATGATGGCTGAGATT